GCTCAACCACTGATCCTATTGGATCACCAGTTACCCAGTCACCCAGTCACTCAGCCACAGCACTCAGTCACTCAGTAACCCAGGCAGGTAGGGTTTATTATGGCAAGATGAACCGAATTCTGTGCTGTGATTGGCTACCCGAACTGGCAAGATGATGCTATCTCGCCCGCACTTGATTTACCCGCTGTGATGTTAGTGATCTTTTTCCATATAATAAATCCTTTATTGAACAACCTTGTTTGGTCAAGATGGTAGGATATTGACCTCGCTCTTTTTTTGCAAGGACCTTCACTCCGTTTCGGTCCTTAAACACGCAAAAAAAGAATTTGGGCAATACCCAGCCACCTTATATAAAGCGATACTACACACCAAAACATCTAATACGAGATTTATTATCCAACTGTTGTAGTCAATAAATTTTTCAGTGAAATTAGGAGAGAGTGACCGTTCTGCGTGCGCGCGCCGACCTGTCCGGCAAACAGGTTTTCTACTGTACAAATAACTGTACAATATCGCTGTATATTTGTACTGTTATTTGAACGGTATTCGCTGCAGTTGGATAATAATTGCTCATATGACAGTATGATTTAGCCAATAAAATCTCTCGCATTATCCAATGATCCAGTTTTTAATAATTTCTAATTATCTTACTCAATTAATGACGCAGAAAAAACGTATCACCCATTTTTACGTCATAGATGAGCTGGTTCGGCGTTTTGTCGAAATGCGTGCAAAGGACCGCCTTGTACATTGGCTAACACAAGAAACATGTCAGACTGATGTGTTTCTTCATTTTTACTGCTTTGGTATTCTTTATCGAGACTAAACTCTGCGCTCTCATTTTTCACCAAAACGATCCGGCTTTAATGAAAAAATCCAAAGACGAAGACGATGTCCAATGTTGCCCGTCATCTGAGATTCGTGAAAGTCTCGAAAAGATATCGATTGTGGATGATACAGTTGAAGGTAGGTTCCTCAGCTTCAGAGCAAACTGAATTTTTCTTTTGGTATGATATTAATTAAGAGTAGAAGCGTTACAATTTGTGGGCTGGGTGAGGGTGAGGCGCCTTGTAGGGGACGAAATGATCTTTTGCGTTTAGCTCAGTTACGTTGGTAGAGGGCCAAACTGCTGTGCGGGAGTTCGAGGGTTCGAGCCCCAGACTGGACCAACAATCAGGGTCTTAAAGTAACTGAGGAGAATGAGCTGCCTTTGTAATTACATCTGCAAATGGTTAGACGTCAAGTCTTCTGGGATAAGGACTATGAACCGTGGGCCCCGTCCCCTGCATCTTCAGTATTACATGGTTAGCAAGGGACGTTAAAGAACCCACACACTTATCGCAAAGAGTAGGGCACGTAGTTCCTGGTGTTGTGGTCTGGCCTTGTCTCACGGGTTGGTGCTTTACATAGGGTTAACGTCATTGCACCTTTCCCCCTCGGATAGAATTTTCCAAAAAATTGGTAAGTATTGCTATGGTATCTCTCACCTGCCTTTCGGCAAATTGTTAAAATAGAAAATAAACAATAAACAATAAATCAGAGTATTTTTTCCCTACACGCACTGAATTTAGATACCAAAATGTTCTGGCAGACTTTCTTCTGAGGTATATAACTGAAAGTGTCATTTAAGATCAAAAAGAAATCAGTTTGTCATTTCTCCGCCTTTTTTTTAAATAGCGGAAACTTGCACGAAATCCAGCGTTTGTTTTGTACATATTTGTTTGAAATCTGTTACAGACGAACAGATGTAGGGAAAACTGAACATCCCTGAAATTTGATTTACAGATTTCAAATCTTATTCCAAGCTGTGATATTTTTTGAATATATATTTTTGTTTTGCTTTTTAAAGAATGCGGAAATTCGTGAGTGTGGCTACTTCACAGCGAAGCAAGTGCGGGAATCGGGTTTCTAGTTCTTGCTATTAAAACTTAGCTCAAGTATTTCAAGTTTGCTTTCTAAATTCAGTCTGATTTCTCTCCTTTTTTTGCCTTTTTCTACCTCAGTTTCCTTTAGTCTAAAAGGAAGTTATTGCTTATTGCAAAACTCTCATCAGGACAGGGAGCGTAACATTTAAGGGTATGTGTTTTAAATGCCAGAATCAATTATCTTTCGTTACTTTGCGCGAAAGTCGAAATAAGACTAGTAGATGGCCAGACTTCTGGGCGAAGAAAGCAAAAAATAAATAAATAAGTAAATAAATAAATAAATAAATAAAAGCGAAAAGAAAATAAATGAAAAGCACAAATGAATGATTTTCGAATTTTCCGTATGTTTATAAATGTCACGGCATCGAGGCCGAAGCACGTGCACAAACAAAAAGCGCGGTTACAAAGTCTACCGGGAGAAGAGTGAATAAAAGAAGGACATACTGCGTGGATATTTTGGAGGTTTTTCATGCCCTGTCCAAGGTATTTAGTTCATCTTGCGAAACTTTAAGTTAGGTTGTATATAGTTAAGGCCTGAACGTCCGTCTGGGGGTACATTTGGTGTTTTATCCCTAAAACGAGCAGCAGACTTGATGGCTATGCGCCATGTTTTGCAGGAGAGTACAGTTTTAGCCTGTTGACCCCTTCCTGAGCGCGTTTCCGGCCAAGTGGAACTCGTGAAACTATGAGCGAAACTGTTAGATAAAAAGCCAGATTTAAGTGTCTACGGATAAATAGCAAAGAGTGGAAGACAGTAATTTAGTCAAAAGGAACGGGTTTTCAATGGAAGTGTTAGTACAGTGCTGTTTTCGTTCCATCCTGAGTGCTTTTGCGTTCCTCGCATAATAGATCTGACGCAGTCATCTTAGAATTGTTTTCATTAACTTCGTAGGTATGGTTTAGTGTAATTTTCCCCTTGTTTTCCCGTTTTATTTTAGTTTATAGCTTCACAAACCCACTCCTCTTCGTTGCTTATAAGCTTATGTGTACATGTAGGCCTTGGCTTATCTGCTACTTTACACTTTGTACCTTCATCTAGCTATAAACTTAATATAAGCAGCTTACCATTTTACTGTAGAGTTATGCCATTAGACTTCTCATCTGTTGAAGGTAAACTCTCTATATTCAACCTTTACCATTGGCAACAAATGAAAAATATGCAGCTCAGTGTTTTGGTTAAGATTTCAGACACTGTTTTATCTTCCACATCTTCCTGTAGGAATTTTTATAATCATATACCATTGCCTCCTCCAAAACCCAGGGGCAGTTAGTTGGGCCAGGAGGAAATAAATTGAGAAAAAACTGAAGTGTCTAACTGCCCTTGGGTCTTCAAGGATGATAGCATTGTTGAATATGAAAGAAACATTTTGTCATATTCTGAAATCATTATGAAGCCTATTTCATTAAAGTGTTTCAATCATAATATTTAAGAATAAATAGTAGTAATGCGAAATGAGGAGACTAGCACTTTTCTTATGAGGCTGAGGCTATCTGAACTGCAATTCAACTGTAACACTACGTCACAATACCCTAGAACAAGCTAGCTGTTTTTTTCTAACGCCAAAATGATGCAGTGGTACATTTTGTGGAGTTCAGACAATTTAGGAGAATTTAGGATTAGCCTTTCCTTGGTAGAAATTTGAGAGTTCAATATATCAAGGGACTTTGAGACTTCCTTAGCGTTGCAAAAAATTGAGACCCAGAGACAGTTTCATTCTACGACCAGTTCATTTGGTGATTGATCTCCAAGATTGCCATTTTTACCATAGGTATATAACTTCTCCTTTGTATGACAGTAATGTGTTTAGACTTTTAGTAACATTTAAGGATTCAAGTTTCAATAAACTGACTTCTAGCTTTGTTGATCTTTCATTCTACAGTGAGATCTAGTAGTGCCAGTTCAGAGACCAATCTAAAAGATATGCCACCAAGGCGAAAAAGAAAAGCAGCTACAAGAGAAGAAACCAAGCTGAAGAAACAGAAGGAGGACTGTTTGACAAGGTCTTAACAATCAAATATTTGTAGGTTCAGTAGAAGGTTGATTCTTAAGTGGCTAATCCTGAAGTGCTAAAAAAAGGAGCAGGAGTGATTTTTTTTTGGGAATCAGAGGGAGCCATAGGTTGTTACCTTAGATCTGCCACTGGTCTTTGTATAATACAGCTGAATTCCAATTTTTTTGAACCGAACAGAAATTGGTTTGAAAAATTAAGAGGATAAATTTCTGCTATTTTTTTTTTTTTTTGTAGAGGGGCCAAACAAGTGCATCAGATAAGCATAATTATGGGATTTCACTGTAATTTATCATGATCTTTAAGTAGTTTTAATCATACTTTACTTCCACTTCTCTTGGGCAAAAGAAAGTCATATCTGCTAAGATCACACCCTCAAAAGTTATGGGGTGACCCCTGATATGTATGTTCCTCTATGAGCCTTGTAAACAAAGAAAGCTGTTCACAAAAAAATTAATTTTATAGTATGGTGGGCAGGTTTTGGGGGGTTGGTATGAAAACCCAGGGGTACTACTATGTTTGCAGTATAGCATTGACGTAGGAGAATCCAGTTGCTCACAGGGTAACCCGGGGGGGGGAAGAAAAAAAGGGAGCAGGAAATAGAATTTTGAAAAAGACAGGAAGTGGGAGAGAAATACAATATATGCATAACATTAATATAATCATGCATAATATCAAATTCTGTGAATTCTTTAATTTATAGCATAAAGCAGCAAACTATAACTGATGAGCTGGGGAAACCCTTCTCACTAAGGAGATGTCGAGCATGGTTTGAACACTATGCAGGTATTTTGGTACTTTAGTATTGTTTCATAATATTCTACATGTACATGTGTATAAATGAACAAGCTTTCCCATTCAGATAGCTTGTTGGGATATTGAACCCTTTTTTGTCCTGGTTGATCTTCTGTTCACACCAAAATGCATTTCAGCCACCAACAAAAGTAACTTTTTGAACATTTTGAACAAAGTCACGCTGGATCAAGTAATGAATTCATGCCCCATCATTAAGCATTTCTGGGACTGTTTTAGCGTGGAGGGAGGCCAAACCTGGAGGAAAAAAGTTGCTTTATTTTTCAAATTTATCGCGATTACCGGTAGTGTGAACTGGGCTGGACCTCACAAGTAACTTTCAAATCAAAGGGAATATTCAAATGGTGGTATACATGAAATAGAACCTCGGGGAGGGGAGGGGGCTACTCCCTTATATGGGTTACATAGGTATGTGTGGTCCTAAAGGGTAGGGTTTTTCAGGTGTTTTGGTAATAAATAGGGTATCAGTTTTGGCCATTTTTGGTTATAAATAGGGTATGGTTTTTGCACTCTGGTCTTGAATTGGGTATGTTTCTTAGAAGAAGCTACTTTCTCATCATTATCAGTAAGACCGTCAACAAAAGCCCTTCATAACTTATGTTTAGGGCAACTGTGTCAGCTGCAACGGTCATGAATAGGCTATCAAATTTTTGGTTGGGTCATAAATAAGGTAGCAAAAAAAGGAGATTTTGGTCATAAATAGGGTAAGAGTGTTGGGAAGTGGGCCGCACACCCCCGCCCAACATTTCTGGAAGTACTCCCTTTCCCACCCTTCTGGGGATAGAACACACCAACAAGCCAAAACAAACCAAAATTGACAAGAATACTGTTAGTTAAAAGATGGATGTGAAAGATTGATATAGATTTGATATGTAAACCGTGTTTTACGCTGCACAATGTTTCCTTGTAATGTTTACAGGTCAAGATGAACCAGATACAATTGGACCTGAGGGAGTTGAAAAACTCTGCAAGGATCTTGGGGTAGATCCAGAAGATGTAAGAATTCTTATATTAATTTGTTCATTGCATTTGGGAGAGTGTTGCATTTCATAGAATTGAAAATAATCCTGTAGTTTTTGTGTCAAATTATGAGGTTTCCAGATTTCGGGGATGGATGTCATAGTTATGTAGGATCCTTTGGATTTTTGCCATTTTCCATAAATGATAGCCTGGTTTTCACTAGCAACACAAAACAGTACAGGCCTAAAAACTTTAAGAAATGGTAGGCTTATCCCATGCAAAATTCTGAGAAGTACACCACATGGAATCAGGCAGTGATGCTAGTAAGTTCCTTTTAGCCAATTATTACTGCATACATACATTTGGTGACAGAGAAAAGTGCCACTGATGACCAACATACAAATTATTATTAACAAATAAAGAAGCCTAAGCCGTGTATTACACCATGGTAAAACATGACGGGCATTTCAAATGTCCAGAGTGTTTTGTCACAGTGTAATACACAGCTTAGACTTCGTCATTTGCTTTATTGTATAGATTTTACACACCGCACTAGAGACAACAAAGCACACAGATCAACAAACTGGCACAATTTAATACCACTAAAGTGCTACATGCCTCGTCTTCAAAACTCTCTGCTGCTTCGCAGAGATCTCCATCACAAATTTCTTTAAAGAAAATGTTTTTTGCCATCTCTAGAGGTAATGTGGCAAAAAACAATAAAACACGCTTTTTCTATATTTTATACTCGAATGAAACATGGGTTTTTGACCAATCAGAGCACACGCATGGTCCTATCTATATTATCAAAACATGTAACTATGCATAAATGTAGTGGCATTGCAATGATGATTGTGTCAATGATAATGTTGTAAGCTACGCTGTGTACTACGTGTACATGTAATCAATTTTTCTTTGCAGAGCGTTATGCTTGTAATAGCATGGAAACTACAGGCAGCAACAATGGGATTTTTTACCTTTCATGAATGGAGCAAAGGGATGCTCTCAATAGAGTAAGAATTTACTTTGTGTTAAAACCAAATACATGTATGTTAATATACAATATTTTATCCATGGGACAGTGATTCCCTGATTTATAATCCCATTATTGACACTTTCGACAACTGGTTACAGCTGTTTTGTTTCTGTCTCTACATTCTATGTGTCAAATTATGTTTATAATTATCATACAGGAGACTGAAGTTCTTTATCTCTCTTTTTAGATGTGACTCAACAGCCAAGCTTAAAGCACAGTTAAATGGCCTGAAGTCATTAACAAGTGACAGCGCAACTTTTAAAAAGATCTACCGCTATGCATTTGACTTTTGTAGAGTAAGTTTGTACTTGTTTTGGCTTACATAATTTTCAAAGTTAATGTTCAGATTGTAATACAAGAAAAATTATTGAAATATTACACAGTACCTTATTATCACACGCTTCATGGATGAATAGAAGTCAACAATGCATTGGGAGTTGAGAGGGAGAGGTGAAGATAACCACTATTTGCTGACAGATTTTTATTTAAATGGCTGGTTTTATCTGGTTTAGAAACAAGTAATTCTGAAGATATTTTAAAGTTAACAGTTTTATAATTGTTAATTCTGGAATGCCTTCAGATTTATATAATTATTATAATTATTGTTAATTCAAATGATTAATATGACAACACTGCTTCAGTTGTAACATTCATTTTTATCACCCAGAACCCTTAATCTTGGTTATGTTACATACTATCCAGAGATGCCAGCAAGTAATAATTGCAATTTTCTTTCACACAGAATCAAGACCAGCGCACTTTAGAAATAGATACAGCCATGGCAATGATGAATCTCTTACTCCATGGTTCATGGTCATTGCTAGATGATTTCTTAGAATTTTTACGGGTATGTTATCAAGGACAATGGTATAAGGGTAACTTTATTCACACAGTGTTTGTGTTCAAAGGTTACAGCTTGTGATACCATGTACATGCAATCTTCTGTAGGAAAAAACATGGTAACTACTGTAGTACATTTAGTCATAATTTGTAGCACAAGAAAACACTGACAGTGCTCATAAATATGTACAGAAAAGTTCTAAAACTTTCAAACCTAGCGTGCACAGTGTTGCTAGTACAGGGACAAATATTGCCAAAAAAANTTTGAAACTGACATGTTTTCTTCATTGTTGATCATTGATCGTTTCTCAGGGCCAGTTCTCATGGATGAATTTGTTGTGTGGTACAGACAGAAATACCCTCCCAAATCTTCGTCAGCTTGACTAACTTTGTCAGAATCAAGTTTTACTACAAAAAGTATTATGCAACACGCAGACCATGGACTTTACAAGCTATCATAGCAAGAAAGGACTTCCATTGGCTAGGAATGTTGCTTACAAAAAATGTTACGTTGAAGAGTCCTCACAGTTACTGCAAATTTTTCAACAGTGGCATGAATGAAATAACCAAACAATGCAATGAGATGGCTCGAACCATCCATTGTTTGACTTTACGTGCAATGCCCATTGCTTTGCTAGAAAGCTGGAGAAAAGACAAGCTAAAAATACTGACTAAAAGCTGTACATGCAAGAAAACGTTTTTTTTTTTTTGATTTACTTCACTGTGAAGTTCTGACTGAGAGAAAGCACCATTCAACTCCTGTTAATCTCTCTTCCCTGAGATTGAAATGTTAATTCTCCCTAAGGATTGCCATACATTTTTTAATGTTGCTACTGAGAATTTTGTAATGCATCAAGAGTATGTAATTGTTGTTGATTTTCATTCTTTTCATCTCCTGTTCAGTTTACAGTGTACTGATATGGTGTTTCCCCTACCTTTAAAGGAGAAACAGCTCTGCGTTATTGCAGTCCTGAAGTTGTAAAGATATGATTTCATGAAAAATAAAATGGCTAAGAAAATACTGAGATTTTTTGCAAATAATTATATTACCTTGACATTTTCGTTTTTGTAAAGATATCACTTATTTTTCTCTGAAAATTTGATAACGGATCAACAGTTTTTCCCTTGACCAGTCATGTGCATCGTCTTAAGCTGTCTTGATTTGGTTCTTCAGTTTTCCAGTGTTGTAATTTTGTTATTACAGTTCTTCTCTCCCTTTTATTGGAAAACTATTGTGGCATCATAAAAATCATTAATTTTGCGCAATATGAAGCCTCAAGGGAGTTGTTTGGTGCTTTCAGGGTATCGTAGTTCATAGTTTATTAATAAAAAGCAGTTTAAACCAAACTGTGTGGATCAAGTTTATTGCATGTCACATTTGGATGTACTTGTTGGTTCACGAGATAGATACAACCCAATGGGACTCCCATGTAAAAAGGACGGGGATGCGCGTCCTACCTTTTAGGGGTTAAAAAAGCTGATTTGGTAACTCTTGGGGTGCTCAGCCTCTTAAGGTCCCACAGTAGGAGCTTTCGCGGCACCTTTTAGGGTATCAAGCCGTAAAAAATATGACAGGAGATAATGTGTTGTTTTTACCTCTTGGGGTGAAAAAATGTCAAGTCATGCCCACAAAACAGGATCTTGGTACCTCTTAGGGCTTCTTTTCAATGTTTCCGATGAGCAGCCCTGTCCTCTTATATGGGAGTTACCCCCCCCCCTCCCAGGAGATTCAAAACAAGATCCAAAACATCGTAGAATCCAGGGCAAGAGAGTTAATCCCCCATGCAGACCTTATTCTTAAGGTAAGGCCTCTCAAGTTAATTTTAGATCATTTCTGGTTTCCGAATTTTCTGGTTGTCATTCATATGGTTTTCATTATTTTAACCTGACTTTTGACTGGAAAAACCAATATACTATTGAACCTGCGGATATCGCAACTTTCGCGGCGTCTCGGGATTTATTAGCGGTCACAAGGTTTTGACGTTACTTTCATGGAGTCGCTACTTTCATGGGGTCGTTACCCGGGGGGGGGAGGGTACTCCCTTATATGGGCTATATAGGTATGTACGGCCCCAAAGGGTACGGTTTTTCAGCTGTTTTGGTCGTGAATAGGGTATCAATTTTAGCTGATTTTAGCCATTTTGGTCATAAATAGGTATGGGTTTTGCACTCTAGCCTTGATATGGTTATGTTTTTAAGAAGAAGCCACTTTTTCGTCATTGTCGAAAAGAAAATCAACAAAAGCCCTTCACAAATTATATGTTTACGGTAATTCAACATTGGTCTGAACTAGGGAACTATAGAAGGGGTAACTTTCGTGTAATACGTCAATTTCGTCTGGGTCGTAAATTTCGTTCAAGTCGTAAATTTCCTCTAGAGGAGTAAATTTCGTCTAAGTCGTAAATTTCGTCTACGTCGTAAGTTTCGTCTAACGGGTAAATTGCATCTAAGACGTAGATTTCGTCTAAGTCAAAAATTTCGTCTAAGGGGAAAATTTCATCTGAATGGTATATTTCGTGTAAGTCGTAAATTTCGTCAAACTCGTAAATTTCGTCCAAAGGGTAAATTTCGACTAAGAGGTTTATTTAGTCTAAGTCGTAAATCTCGTCTAACGCGTAAATTTCGTCTAAGACCTAAATTGCGTCTAAGGGGTAAATTTCTTCTAAGAGGTAAATCTCGTCTAAGTCGTAAATTTCATCTAAAGGGTAAATTTCTTCTAAGTCGTAAATTTCGTTCAAGAGGTAAATTTCGTCTACGAGGTAAAATTCGTCTCAGTCGTAAATTTTGTCTCAATCGTAAATTTCGCCTATGTTGTAAATCTTGTCTTAGAAGTAAATTTCGCCTAAGTCGTAAATTTCTCCTAAGGGGTAAATTTCCTCTAAATCGTAAAATTTCGTCTAAGGGGAAAATTTCGTCTAAGTTGTAAATTTCGTCTAAGTCCTAAATTTCGTCTTAGTGGTAAAGTGTTTTTACGAGGTAAATTGCGCCTAATCGTAAATTTTGTCCAATGGGTAAATTTCGTCCAAGGGGTAAATTTTTGTGAGTCGTAAATTTCGTCTAAGGGTTAAATTTCGTGTAAGATGTAAATTTCGTGTAGGTCGTAAATTTCGTGTAAGAGTTAAATTTCGTGTAAGACGTAAATTTCGTCTAGGTCGTAAATTTTGTCTAAGAGGTAAATTTCGCCTAACTCGTAAATTTCGTCTAAGTCGTAACTTTCATCTAAGGGGTAAATTTCGTCAAAGCCGTAAATTTCGTCTAAATCGTAAATTTTGTCTAAGAGGTAAATTACGTCTCAGGGGTAAATTTCGCTTAAGAGGTAAATTTCGTCTAAGTCGAAACTTTAGTCTAACTGGTAAATTTCGTCTATGTCGTAAATTTCGTCTAAAATGTAAATTTCATCCAAGGAGTAAATTTCGTCTAAGTCGTAAACTTCGTCTAAGAGGTAAATTTCGTCCAAGTAATAAATTTCACCTTAGTGATTGGCTCAAAATTGAGTGGCGTGACCAGTCATGCATGAAGCTCAAAGTCGTCGCTAAAAATAAAGACAGAAAATAAAGACAACAAACTACCAGTATGCCTTCGATTTATGAGGAACGGGACTGTATAAGCGAGTTTCTTTAGCGCAAATTCATTGTTTACTTTTTCTTCGTGATAATAGCCCAGCTTATTAGATTTGCCTTTAACAAGTCGATTTAACCGGGAGAAAACCTGTCTAAATACAAACACTGAACCTTGAGGTTGAATTTGCTTCCCTAAATATTGCTATAACAGCATGATAACAGCGAAACGCTTTTCTATTTGGACAGAGTTTTAGAATTCAGAACGCATATTTTCTCGTCAAAAATTGTTACCACCGGCTTCCCGAATTAAGTTCGACGCAAGTACGCCGTCTGCACCAGCCGTCGCTCCAAAGTCGCTCTGAAGTCTAACTTAATCAAGTTTGGTTCGGCAGATGAGTGGAGCGGCGTTTGGACCGGCCTTAGTCTAAGTCGTCAATTTCATCTAAGGGGTAAATTTCGTTTAAGTCGTAAATTTCACCTTAGGGGTAAATTTCGTCAAAGTCGTAAATTTCGTCTAAGAGGGAAACCTCGTCTAAGTTAAGTCGTAAATTTCGTGTAAGAGGTAAATTTTGTCTAAGTCGAAAATTTCGTCTACGAGGTAAATTTCGTCAAAGTCGTAACTTTCGTCTAAATCGTAAATTTCGTCTAAGAGGTAAATTTCGGATCAGAGGTAAATTTCGTCTAAGTCGTAAATTTCACCTTAGAGGTAAATTTCGTCTAAGTCGTAAATTTCGTTGAAGAGGGAAACTTCGTCTAAGTAGTAAATTTTGTCTAAGGAGTAAATTTCGTCTAATGAGTAAATTTTGTCTGAAACGTAAATCTCATCTAATGGGTAAATTTCGTCTTAGTCGTAAAATTCGAATTCGTCTAAGTGGTAACCATCGTCTAAGAGGTAAATTTCGCCTAAGAGGTAAATTTCATCTAATTCGTAAATTTCGTCTAACCCGTAAATTTCGTCTAAGTCGTAAATTTCATCTCAGGGGTAAATTTCGTCTAAGTCGTAAATTTCGTCTAAGAGGGAAACTTCGTTTAAGTCGTAAATTTTACAAGGGAAAACCGGAAATTCCAGTTGGAAAATCAAATGGTTCGCGCCATTCCATTCGGGAAGCTTCAGAAATTATGGGCTGTGATTTGAGGTGATGCTATTTTTCTACTCTTTTAAGTCTCTCTAGCTGATGTGGACATACTTTATAGCGATTCCCTCTCCCGCGACGTCGCATTTAATTGTTTAATGTTTATGCCTGAAATTTCAAACCGGATGGTTTTTGTAAATGGTAAGCACCCGTAAACTGCGTCGAAGAGGTAAATTTCGTCTAAGTCGTAAATTCCACCTTAGGGGTAAATTTCGTCTAAGAGGGAAACTTCGTCTAAGTCGTAAATTTCGTCTAACTCGTAAATTTCGTCTAAATCGTAAATTTTGTCTAAGTCGTAAAGTCGTCTGAGAGGTAAATTTCGTCTAATTCGGAAATTTCGTCTAAGTCGTAAATTTCATTTAAGGGGTAAATTTCGTGTAAGTCGTAAATTTCGTCTAAGTGGTAAACTTCGTTT